TCTCCAATTCTGGTGAGTCTATGTGTAGTGCAGCCTAAGATTCAGGTGTTCTTGGTTGTACCTAGCAGATTTAAGTTACTGTTGCTTGAAACAGCCTGACCATTCTGCAGACCATGTCTACATCCCATAATGCACTGAGTTGCTGTTATGTGACTGGCTCATTAGAAATTGACATAATAAAGTGTCTGGTAAGTGTAAGAGGATGTGATGAGGATACAGTAAAGCATGTCATGTCATTTCAGATGTTGTTTGTTGATGGATGAATTGTGCATTCAATGACAAACCCAAAGATGTGCTTATTAACAAAAATCATTTACAGCATCACTGTTGCAGCATTACAGTAGCCTCCATGTGTTTTCTTACCTGGGGAAATCTGTTTATCCATTAGCTGCACAAAGGCCAATGGCAGCTCCAACACAGGCTGCTGCTCCTGGGCCAGCCCCATCGCTGGTGGCCCCCTCTTCACAAGCCCAATCAACCCCACCACCACGACCCTCAGCCACAGGCATCACCATGGAGCTGCTGAAGACTCGTGGCCTAGCTGGTCTCTACAGAGGGGTAGGAGCCACCTTAATGAGGTAACGCACACCCATAAATAAGTAAATGAAGTAGTCACTGTGACCATTTTAACAACATTCTGTTCACATTAAATATCAATTCAAAGAAGTCATTTCCCAACTTTTCAATTACTTTGAATAAGGCAAACACTTCTATTGCATTTTTTCATATATATCCATTACACTATGCTTCATGTTGAAGGCTGCCATACACAAATGTTTAAAGGACACAGTCTCTTCCTTTTAAACTCTGTCAGTGTTCAAATGAGCTGCTTTTAGTTTTTAGATTTTGCATAACTCGTACTGTGGTTGTTGTCTGTGACATCTCTGCTAATCAACACTAATCAATAGATTCCTGCAGCTATGTCTGTCTGCTATGCTGCAGTTTAACAGGTTCATGTGTCTCCCATGACCCAGTCATATTTTTTCCCCCCACTTATCCTCTTATCTTTCAGGGATGTCCCCTTCTCTATGATCTACTTCCCCCTGTTTGCCAACCTTAATGCCCTGGGCCGGGAAAGTGCAGGTGGGCAGGCTGATGTGCAGGCCCGGGCGCCGTTCTGGCAGTCCTTTGTGGCAGGCTGCTCCGCTGGCTCAGTGGCAGCTGTGGCAGTTACACCGCTGGATGGTGAGTGGGAGTCAGATACGAGTATATACCTTCTTCATGTTGCAATACTTCACTCCAATATAATATTTATCTTATTAGACAAGACTATTTTACTTACATTATAATTATTTATGTTAATGCAAGCGTGCAACGGATTCGCATAATAAAGTTTATAAGGAATCAAATACAACCTTGTTAATTTTAACACATTCAGAGTTTGGCTGCCTCATTTGTTCTGGTATCAGCACCGGCTTATAAATGCCAAATTTTAGCCAATTATCTATGATGTAAACTCAGCATCAGATCTGTATGTCTATCACTCTATCTATAAAATGTCTTGTTAGTTTAATTAGTTAAATACTTCTACTAAACTTAAGTTTCTTCCAAACACCCAAACAGTAATAAAGACCCGTCTGCAGACCTTGCAGAAAGGTGCCGGGGAGGATACATACAGAGGAATTCTTGACTGCACAACGTAAGCTTATAATGCCACATCTGCTTCCACAATAGAGTTTTTATAAGCGTAACCAGCCCAGTAACACTGCCTTTCTCGTATTTCTTGCCTTTTCCTCTCTGATCCCTTCGCAGGCGCATCATGAGGCGAGAGGGTCCATCAGCATTCCTGAAGGGTGCGACCTGTCGTGCTTTGGTCATTGCTCCTCTTTTTGGCATTGCCCAGGGTGTCTACTTTCTTGGGGTAGGGGAGACAGTACTAGGGTTGTTGGGATAGCAATGCTAAGTACCAGTGGCAGCAGTCATGTTGTTTCTGTGCAGATAATATGCTGCTTTTGTTACTCAGTGAGCAGAGAAAACAGAGACACAGAAGAAATACAGCCACAATCCACTAACCAAAGGAAGAGCAATGGTCAGAATATGCATGAAAGAAGCTTCATTTACTAATATGTGGACTACCGGGTTCACACTAATGTTTCTCTACGTTTTCACTTGCCGTAAGCAGGATTCTGTAGGTTAAGCAAGGTCCTTTGTATGTGTATGATTAATGTGAGGATTGTGTCCCAAGCTGGCCTGGTTATCCCAGGGTAGTCCCTGCCAATATGCCTGGGCTTAGTCCTTTCACCTGAGAGAGATCTGTTCTTTTCTGGGACAATTGGTGCATGTTGTTTGAGCCTGCTAACTCAAATGCCAGCCAATCCAACAGTTTCTTTGGCCTGTGCATCAACTTTTTAAGAATGTCTCCTTTCAAGCTTCATCTAAAAACCCTTTACAGACATGGAATATACAACATCGCTGGCCTCACTCTTTTTTTTAAAGAGAGTGCATTACCATATGGTTTTATAGTCATGTTTCTCATGGGTTCACATACTCACAGAGATGGCAGAGAAATCCTGTAGTACATCCCAGTACGTACAAATGGATGAAGGGGAAATGAGTACATAATTTATGTATTATCTTAAAGGAAGTCTAATTATACTTTTGAATATTCTCACCATTTTTTTTGACATGAAGCAGGGCCCCTTGCACACACACTTGGCGACAGAGATTTTTCATTGATTGGAGAAAATTTAAACAAAATAAATCAATTAAAAAAAACATTTTAAAGAGCATTGTCCAGTGAACTAAGGAACTCACAAACTCTTAATGTGGCAGCATGTATTTGCAGTTGCAGTTTTATTGAAATTAATATAAAAATGCAATAAATCCCACGACTTTTCAGGAATAACCCACTAGGATGCTTATTCAGGCATCATGTGGTCAGACTGATGAAAAGCAGTACCTGTCTTAACAGGGTCTTAATGATATATGATGTCAGAGTCTAAACTGCCAATAACTCAGACATCAATGTTTTTCTCTTAAAACGGGGCTCCATATCCTTCTTCCTACTGTTAAGTATCCCTTGTACTCGAGTAATCTTGGACTCTTTCACTGGACTTAAAGGTGCTGCCTGCTAGTGTCTCTGAGGTCATTACTTAATCTGATGGTAATGCTTTAATCGCCACATTAGCATACAATATACACTAACAGACTGCTCACTTCCTGCTCGAGAGCAACCGCAAAACCACGATCCCACAGACTTAACGTCCTCTTCTCCGCAGCTTGCAACGGTTTAAATAAAACCTTGCTGTCGCCTTGGATTCCTTTTACTGCTTAGTTACAGTTATACATAAGACGCTTCAGTGTACGCACAATAACTAAAGAAAATGCAATCAAGGCCTTATGACAGCTGGTAGTTTCGAAAGCATAAAAACTTTAAGTCTTAAGTAAATAAGTCGAACTGGTTGTGTTGAAATATTGTTTTGGTACTCGAGTCCAATTTTAGCAAAAGACAGCTGTAATCGTTAGACCCATGGAGGGAGTATGGCAACTTGTCTGGCCAACAGTTTGCCATTACTGAATCCCACTGGATGCCACTAAAAGGTTTTGTTTTTTACATTTTTAATGCAAGACACATTTTGATGTGGATACTCTATATAGGTTCCTACATTTTCCTCATTGTAGAGTGAACATAGCCTGAGTAAAGTGTATGTTTACAAGCTGTAAATAAAGATATCTCATACATGTTCATTTCTCATGTCACTTTAATTGATACCTTGGTATATTATTACCTTGAGAACAATGCTAAGCAACTCTGTGTACGCACACACGCACACATACATACGCACACGCGCGTGCCTGTATCTTTGGTTTAAATATGCAGCTTGCTCAGTTTACTCAAACTGAAACGACTGAAGACAAACATCTGTAATGTCATTAGAACATTGAGTCCTTTTAAGAGAAGATGAATAGAGGACATTTCAAAGTAAGAGCACTTGCTGAATTGTTATTTAGTCCATTAGTATTTAGAACTATATAAACACTCCCTTTGGATCTCAGTAACGGCAGATGGTTGGAGACTCTTGGGTTTTATGGTGATGCTCTGTCATCACCACAAACGTTCCACCTGTGCCCTCTTCATGTCCACAGTTAATCCAAGAACTTGCGATTGGGGTTGGCACCAAACAGATTCATTCTGACTTCAGGCATCATCTGTCAAGAAGATAGTAAGGATATAAATCACAACCATTTTTTTTTTTGGCCACAGCATTCAAACATTGTTACAATTGTTACAGTTCAGTATTTGATATTCCTTTCCAGCTGTAAGAACACAAAGTTTCTTTCCATTTTATTTACTCATTGTCATTTGATTTTTTTTGCCACTGTCTAAAAATGTTAAATCTCGTTTCTGGCATATATACACATTTTGAATTCAATAAATTTTTTCTATTTCAATCCCTGATATGTTGCCTTTGTACCAAAAAGGCTGTAAATGACCTGCAAATAAATGCACTCTGTCATTGTTTGCATTTTAAACAGCATCCCAAATTTCTAGTTTCTAAGTTTCTAAGTAACTATGTAATTTCTTAAAAACATCCAAAGACATCATTGCACATGCATTCATTGCACTCTTTGTTTACATTTTACACAGGATGCCAGATTTCTAAGTATCCATGTAGTTTCCTAAAAACATCCAATGACAGAGTGGAATAATATGCACTCTGTCATTTTTTACATTTTACACAGGATGCCAAATTTCTAGGTAACTATGTCATTTCTGTGGCTCCTGTTCTGATCAAGGCCAACAAGTGCGAGTGCACATCCCATTTATCTTTAAGCTTTTCCCACCTGGTTGTGTAAGATCATTTGTACTGAATCTCTGTGAAAAGACAAAGGACTGCTCTAGACCACCCACGTCTCATTCCACAGCCCACTTTGATCTTAAGTGGGTCAGACCAGTGAAATTCTCCTTTCTGTGATTTTAAAGAAGTGTAACTACATATATTGAGATATCTTAGGGTCTAAATAAAGGTTAGGGGAGGTCAGCTTTTAAAACTCCAAAGCCATGGGCTGATTCCGGCTCCCCAGGTCTTACATTTGATGCTTCTGGTCTAGACCATTTGGGCCTCTAGAGAATCTTAAAATTATTTTTCTAATACCTATACATTAATAATACAATTGTTGCAGAAAATACTCAAAAGACCTTACTCCTGAACAAAGCTGAATAATTTACGAACATAAATCAGCAGTGACTGTAATTACTACACATTTGATTTCACAGCTTTACTCTAAAAAAAGGAACCAGTTTTTGCGTTATTGACATGATGGCAACATTGAATACTCAAAGCAAGTTTAAATATAGTAAATCCGTTGTTAGCATGACAGTCTAGTCTTAATGATTAAATTGATTTTTCTCTGTCAGCTCTCCACCCTTCAGTGAATTAGATCCACTGGAAAGCAAGTTGGGCTCTGCTGCCCTCCACAGGCAAACAGCAGCTACTGCAGTGAGCAGCAGAAGATTTGGATGTGAGATCGAAGTTACTTTACCTGTTGTGCAATGAGTTCTAGCCTGCTCTCCAAAGTGTTGGAAACCTTGATCTTCCCATTCTCATTATACATCTCGATTCCTCCACAGCTGTTAAGATAAAATGAAATGTCTAGTTGAAGTCTTGATGCATGCTCAATCATCCAGGTAAGTAAATCCCAAAAGGTTGATTCTGTTCTGTTCATCACAGCCTATTGTTCATTCAGTGGTGCGAGTTTCAGTCATTATGCAAATGTACTGTTTATAAGGTTGGGGAAACCTGCAGTCAGCTGAGACTGAAGAAGTCACCTGGATGAGTGACGAAACGTTTCTCCCACTGAA